AATGAGAGAAAGTAGATAGGATCAGGGATCAGATCTGCTGAGATTCAAGCGGTAGTGAAACACACAGTTCCAGGAGGCATTCCGGCTCAGAATCAGAGGATACAAGGGATGAGAGGAGGCCAGGGGGAATCGTCAGGGGAGTTCACAGGATCTGCATATTGAACAGCTGCTTTGGTCAGGCATGGCCCTTGCTCTGTTTATGCTGAGCTGAAACAGCAATGGGATCAGCCCTAGACTGAGGTGAGGAGCATGGGTACTGAGTCATAAGGAGCCACCTGATCTCAGAAGGTATGGAAATCTTCAAACAGGAGACCCATTGTCAGCACAGTCTACCCTAAGTCTTACAGATATTGAACACAGATTACAGTGAATAAGCAAACAACCAGGGAGTCACAAGTACAAAAGAGCTAAACTAAGAATCACCAAATATTGAGAAAAACCCATAAGAAGACAGACAGATGTCAAAAGCAGAAGCAAGACCACTTCAACAACAAGATTATTTAATTCCTCAGAGAGAACTAAGGTGACATTATAGCCATGAAAAAGGAATTAACAGAAATCTTTTAAAAGATAAATAAAATTTTAAAAAGAAAAAAGAAACAAACTCCAACCTGACTAATAATAAAAGAATGCAAGTTAAAATAATGTGACACCATTTTTATGTTCACAGTGTGGGTGTGTTGTAAATTTTAACTCTTTTAGGGTATGCAATTTGGCAGAATTCTTATTAAAAAGGGACATACCTTTCAATCTATAATTTCATTTCTAGGAATCCATCGTACAAAATACAGACATGTATATAAAGATGTACAAAGTATTCATTGCAACACAGCTTCAGTGGAAAATAATTAGAAATAAGCAAAACATCCATCAGTAGAGGTATGAATATTTAATAACTAATGGCTACCAATAATTAATGCCATGAAATATAAACAAGGCTTTATAAAGAGAGCAGTGGAGCTCTTCATACAGACATGACAAGATCCATAAAATGCGTTACATGAAAAAGGACGAAACTACATATATAAAGATCTCATATATTTTAAAAATATATAGATATTTACACACAAAGCTAAACTGTTTATATAGTTATCTCTGGGCAAGAAAGGTAAGTGGCAGTTATTTTAAAAACTTTCATTTTTGGTTTCACACAATTTATTAATGTACCCACCAAAAAAAAAAAAAAAGAACATCAAACCTGGGCAAGAGGGACTTCCGTGGTGGTCCAGTGGCTAAGACTCCACACTCCCAATGCAGGGGGACTGGGTTTGATCCCTGCTCAGAGAACTAGATCCCACATGCCGCAACTAAGAGTTTGCGTGCCACAACTAAAGATCCCACATGCAGCAACTACAAGATCCCACATGTCACAACTAAAGATCGCGCATGCCGCAGCTAAAAAAGATCCCACATACCACAAAGAAGATCTTGAACATGGGATTATTTAAAAAAAAAAAAAAAAAATCCGATCCGGGCAAGACTATTGCATCGTCAGTAAGGAGAGAACTCTCTGATTTAGGTAAGGTAGCAGTAGATCACAGCAGAAATAATAAAAATTAATTTACGCTTCTGATGTTCAAGGAGCAATATTAAGACGAATAAAAGGTAACTAAAAATAGGCATGAGAAGGAAGATAGGCCTATATAAGTGTTATTTCTTAAACTGTAATTATATGTTTCAGTAATTGCCAGACAAGCTGGTAAGTGTATACTTATAATAAACTTATTTCATTAAAGAGAGCTATGCTTGACCCTTGAACAACATGGGGATTAGGGATGCAGACCACCTGCACAGTCGAAAACCTATGTATAATTTTACAGTTGATACTCTGTACCCAAGGTTCTGCATCCATGAACTCAATCAAACTGCAGATCATGTGGTACTGTAGTACCTATTTAATGAAAAAAAATCTGTGTTTAAGAGGACCCACACAGTTCAAACCTGTGTTGTTGAAGGGTCAACTGTTCTCTTAAAGTATTTGTAGTAGCAGATAACTTGCAATGAAAGGCTACTGAAATTTTTGAGAACTCTAATGGTAAAGCAGAAGACAGCCTGCGGAATAGCCAAAACAATTCTTGAGAAAGAAGAATGGAACTGGAGCAATCAGGCTTCCTGACTTCAGACTATGCTATAAAGCTACAGTAATCAAAACAGCATGGTACTGGCACAAAAACAGACACATAGATCAATGGAACCGAACAGAAAGCTCAGGAATAAATCTGCACAGTTATGGTCAATTAATCTACAACAAAGAAGGCAAGAATACACAATGGAGATGACAGTCTCTTCAGTAAGTTGCACTGGGAAAACTGGACAGCTACATGTAAAAGAATTAAATCAGAACATTCTCTAACACCACATACAAAAGTAAACTCAAAATGATACTATAAAAATCCTAGTGGAAAACATAGGCAAAACACTCTGACATGAATCAGAGCAATATTTTTTTGGATCTGTCTCCTAGAATAACTGAAACAAAAGCAAAAATAAACAAATGGGACACAGTTAAACTTAAAAGCTTTTCCACAAAGGAAATCATAAACAAAATGAAAAGACAACCTACAGAATGGGAGAAAACATTTTCAAACGATGCAAGCAACAATGGATTAATTTCCAAAATATACAAACAGCTTATACAGCTCAATATCAAAAACAAACAAACAAACAACCCAATAGAAAGATGGGCAGAACACCTAAATAGAAATTTCTCCAAAGAAAACGTACAGATGGAAACAGGCACAAGAAAAGATTATCTACATCTCTAATTATTAGAGAAATGCAAATCAAAACAACAATGAGGTACTACCTCACACCAGTCAGAATGGTCATCAACAAAAAGTCTACAATTAATAAATGCTGGAAAGGGTGTAGAGAAAAGGGAACCTTACTACACTGTTGGTGGGAATGTAAACTGGTGCAGCCACAATGGAAAACAGTACGGAGTTTCCTTAAAAAACTAAAAATAGAGTGACCATATGATCCAACCATTCTACTCCTGAGCATATATCTGGAAAAGATGAAAAATCTAATTTGAAAATATCCACGCACACCGATGTTCACAGCAGCACTATTTACAACAGCCGAAACATGGAAGCAAACTAAATGTCCAATGATAGACGAACGGATAAAGATGTGGTATTTGCATGTACACACGTACACACGTACACACGCCACAATGGAATATTAGTCATAAAAGAATGAAATAATTCCTATTGTATAACACAGGGAACTACATTCAATACCCTGTGATAAACCATAATGGAAAAGAATATGTGTATATATATGTATAACTGAATCAGTTTGCTGTACAGCAGATATTAACCCAACATTGTAAATCAACTATACTTCAATAGATTTTTTAAAAAATGAAATAATGCCATTTGCAGCAACATGGATGAACTTAGAGATTATCATACTAAGTGAACATACAAATGAACTTATCTACAAAATAGAAATAGAAAGAGACATAGGAAACAAACATACAGTTCCCAAAGGGGTAAGGTAGAGGGGATAAACTAGGAGTTTGGGATTATAGATACACACTACTATATATAAAATAATCAACTATATTCAATATCTTGTAATAATCTATAATGGAAAAGAATGTGAAAAAATATATATAAATATACATGAAACCGAATCAGTTTGCTGTACACCTGAAACACTGTAAATCAACTATACTTCAATTAAAAAAGAAAACAAGGGCTTCCCCGGTGGTGCAGTGGTTGAGAGTCTGCCTGCCAAAGCAGGGGACACGGGTTCGTGCCCCGGTCCGGGAGGATCCTACATGCCGCGGAGTGGCTGGGCCCGTGAGCCACGGCTGCTGAGCCTGCACATCCGGAGCCTGTGCTCCGCAACGGGAGAGGCCACGACAGTGAGAGGCCTGTGTACCACAAAAAAAAAAAAAGAAAGAAAAGAAAAGAATAAAAGGGAAACAAACAAAAGAAGAAGACAGCCTGGGCCAGATGTTTCTCCAACTAACCAACATTAAATAGTGCTTTCACTCTGTGCAAATAACAAAAGCATATACATTATCTCCATTTGCCTCCTGGCTTCTATCTAATTACCATCCTATATAGAATGGCATTACTAAAGTCACTAGAAAGTTGTAAACTGGTGACATGAAAAGAAAAAAACAGATGAAAACTCAGCAAAGTCTTAAAGTGAATGTCAAAAAATTAAATTAAAAAATATAGATGGTAGAAATATTATATATATTGTAAACTAAATAAACAAAGTAATCTATTTTGTAGTCTTTGGGCAGAAACTATGGGAATGGTGTATGTAGCAGAGACTGCTATTTGCCTCTCAATATGCATTCTCCCCTTCTTACTTTATTAACTACAATCTCTTACTCTTAGCCAAGCCCAGGACTGCCCAGCTAACGACTACATTTACATGCCTCACTTATAGTTAGGTATGGCCATATGACTAAGTTATGGCTAATGAGACATGTGCAGAAATGAAGCATATTAATGATATCCTCAAAAAGAATGGTTACGGCCTCTAGTCTTGCTTTTCCTGTTCCTGCGGGCTGGAAAGTAGTAATGTAGGAGCTGAAGCACCAATATTACATGAGACAAAAACTACATATTAACATGAAAGAGCACCAAGATGCAAGAAACCTGGGTCCCCAGCATTGTGAAACCTGCCTTGAATATACCTGCTCTGTTATATCAGAGAAATAAAGAAAATTACAGCCTCTTCATTCAACTGAATAATATTTAAAAAGATGGTATTGTTAATCTATGAAGTGTCATAGCATCCCTTACAGACTACCTGCTGAA